CAGCAAAAATAGCACTAGTGATATTACAACAACCACATATTCAAATGTGGTCAAAATTGGTTTATTTATCCATAGAACCAAATCGAAAAATAGCAACTACAATACTCCTCAGTTTTGGGCGGATATATCGTACCCTGAATTACAATCCTCAAATAAATCCATTCAATCAACCCTAACCCTTAAATCGCATGTAAATATTGTAACAGCACCTATTTTATCCTATGTATGTTCAACATGCGTATAGATAAAAGTACACTAAATAAATTGACGAAAAAGACAATGTTTACTATAAAATAGTATAATTAATGATGCTGGTGAAACTAGACAATTTCACCAAGTGAATGGTGAAATAGTTTCACCAAAATACAACAAAGCAGAGAAAGCAAAGTTATGTGTATAAGGTCGATTGACAAAAAACAAATTAGGAGAATTAACCTCTAAGCAAATGATAGAAATAGGGGAAAAATTAAGAACTTTTTTGTTTTTGCCTAAAAAAAATCAAATCTAAACTCTAGCACTTATCTTTACCAATCCTTCCTAAAATCTTCTTGATATTATACCAAAATTTTTCTTCCAGAAAAAACTGCAATATAACAAAAATAAAAACATGGTAAATACAACCGAATGGTTAAATCAAAATTATCCTGTAAACGGCACTTGCCAAAGAATAGATGATAAAGAAAATTATGGTAAACCAGAGAACAAATTATTAATTTAGATATTAGCAATCAAGATTTAGAGGGCGCTCTTGCTCTTGATTTTGGCAAATTGAAAAAAGTGAATGCTTCCTTCAATAAATTAAACTGGTATTCATTACCCACTATTTTGGAAGAGTTAGATTTTTCTCACAATAATTTTGAAACTATTGATATTGATGTCTTTAAACTTAGAAGACTTAATATTTCCTATAACCGTCTAGGAGCTCTTGCTCCTGCTCTCACTCCCTCTTTCGCTAATTCTCCTTTTTTGACTCATCTGGATTGCAGCAATAATCTTTTAACCCAATTAGATTTGCGTTCTAGTAGCAAGAACTTAATTGAGTTAAAGTGCTGGGGTAACCCTATTACCAACTTGTCTTTGGGTGAAGTCTCTAATTTAGTTCTTTTTGATTGTTTAGGAGTTAAGTTTAACAATACACTTCCAACTTCTACTATTTTGACATCAACAATTTATGCAAATAACCCCGTTCTCCTTGGTAGCACCATTGGCCTTGGAGTTTACTCAGGAATAAGCACTCTCTGTTGGATAATTTTAGGTTTTATTTTCTTTTACAGACGCCTACACTTCATTATTCCTACTCCCGGTAGTTAATTTTTACCATTTCGACAAAAGAGAATTGAGAAAATTTTTCTTTAAAAAATTTGGTAAATTGGTGAAATTAGTGAAATTGATAAATTGGATATTGAATTGAATGTTTTCAAATATTACCAAACAAACGTTAAAAGCTGTCCGCTAAGTTTCAGTAATTTTATTCAATATATATTAATAGCAATACTGTAAGAATCATTGACCCTTATATACAGTATCTCATATTACTATCGAAAAAGCAAGTTTTATTTCCACTATTTTATGCATAGTAAGCTATATAGTATATATATTATTGTATATATAGCATATTGCAGATCTTACTGTATATATTTTACAAACTTGTTTTTTAAAGATTTAACGTTAAGAGTATTAAATTATATTGTTTATTACTTTATCTGTTTATATAATGTATATTTTTAGATCCAATACACATTATCTCATTTATATAGAATTCATCAAACTGAAATCTGATAAATTGATCGTCATTTACCCCTTATTTTTTTGCTCATAACAAGAAAGATCCTTCTCTAAATACCTAGGTAATAATTTTTTCAGAAAAAACATGTACTGAAATAAATTAAAATATTGATTGCATGCTATCTATAGTTTATAAAAACTCATAATTTTAATGTTAAGGTTTTAAATCGTCTGCCCAGAAATTTATTATACTAATCCTCCCGTGATCTTGATGTAGTGATCGGGGGATTATGATAATAGTAATAGCAGTAATCCTACGGATATCCGGATAAACCGGATAACCGACGGATATCACAAGATCAGTTCATACATACGTTAACATAGCGGGCTTTATTATGATTAGCTGATTTTAACGATCATCTCATCTAATTAAATGTAACGATTTGCTTCACAAGAATAGATTCGATGCCACAAATACGAATCCGGTGAAGGTAAGACAACAAATTTCGAAAGTTCAAACTTTATTTTATATACCATCAAAGTAATTTATTTATACTTATAATGGTTATACAAAAAAATTAATTAGTAAGCAATATATCCTAAGTTGTACGTTTGTACAATTGCAGCAAAATAGCACTACGCGGTAAAATTTTTCTTATTTTAATTCTATGGATAAATAAACCAATTTTGACCACATTTGAATATGTGGTTGTTGTAATATCACTAGTGCTATTTTTGCTG